CGTAAATCGATTTCTCGCGACGTGTTACCCCTATATCCGATAGAAAATTGACGAGTTTCGATGAAAAATTTCTGCTTAAAAGTTGGTGTGTGTTTGTTTGTATATATAGAGNTAAAATACACCTATTCTAGAAAAACTCGAAGTTGGTGTTTGTGCGTGAGGAGAATACAGTCCTTGAACGGCAGCCTGCTGTGCTTTTGCATTTCCTTTAAGTTCTTGAGGATTGGTACAAATGTTGCGGGAATGATACCGGGGAACTCTAGAAGAAGTCCACGAGTACTTTTGCAGCTCAAGGAAATTGCCAAAGCTACCTGTGTCTGGTCAACGGCTACCAGTTTTAAAGTAATGGTGCAACGATAATCTTCCTTGGTAAGGCTCCGGTCGTGCTTTGTGTCTGTATATCTTCTGCTGACAGTAAAGAACAAGTGCTGAACTTGACCATCGCGAACCGAGATAAATGAGAGAAGGATACCTTCACCAAGTCTTTTTGAGTCTTGCCACCATTTTTGTCTCTCTTTCGCTGATTTTCTGCGTAGCTGTGGAAGTTATTTGAATGATATACTTATTTCGAGACCATGACGACGGTCGAATGAGATATAGCTGATGTATGCATCCGGGTAGTGGAAAGCCCGAAAATCTCCAAGACTGAGCTTTGGATTGTTGATACAAGCCGGATCGTTTTGTATAGTGTGCAAGAACAATCTTAGAGCCGTTTTCAGTTCTCCGAAAGTATCGTGACGAAGAAGATGAAAGAATGTGTCAATATGTCTCTCAACCTTGTCTTGAAGGAAGTGAGGCTGGTCGAGATTGGTCGATGGCAAAAAGTCGATTGCATCGCTCATGATTTCCTCAGAAGTTGGAAAGATCTTGATATTAACAATATCAGGCTTGTCGTTGTCGTGACGATCTTGTGGCATTACCAGATTGCGAGGATATGTCGACTTGGTGACCGTTTCTGCATGCACATTATTTTCTTCTTGCGCAAGGAGTCCATTTGTTCGTGCGACAACAGCTCGTATCTCATTGATCCGACCTAGCGTGATCGGCATGATCAAATCCCGGGTATCTCCAACGATTACTTTAGTCGCTTCTTCCATCAAATCGAGTAAAGACGTGATGTTTTCGTTGAATCGAGCGCGAGGCTCTCTTCTAACAAGTTCTCGAAGTGCAACTGGCATGGTCTGCAAAGTATTCTGAATCATTTTTGAAGAGTTGGCGGATGTGAGGTGGGACTCTACGAGTGTTTGAGAAAGATGTTGGAAGAAAGGAATAGCGCGGTTTCCATTTGTGCCACTCACGAAATTGTAGAGTGCTCCGACAGAGGTATCAACGGAGAGGCAGTCCAAGAAAGCCCGATGAGTGATGACAGAGAGAAACGAACACACGATAAGAACGAGTTCCTGCTCTTTTCCTGGGCTTGATTGCAGCTCCAGCAAGGCCTTGATATGTTCCCGGCCTCGATAGTCGTCGCTGTCCAAATCGCGTGGCAACATTTGCTGCCATTCTAGATTGTCGCCACTCAAGATGGCAAGGCCACTACTCCAAAGCTGTTCCATTGTTCTCTTATCGTTTCTAATAGGTGTAACTTTGATGAGTCGGCGCCATGCATTGTAATCCACTCTAGCTTGTTGTTGCTCAGGAGTCTCCTCAGGTTGGCGTGATCGTCCTTTAGAATTATGTGTCTTATTTCCATTTGTGGAAGGCAGATCATGGGAGAATTTGCATGCTGAGCCATACTTGCAACAGCTGTTCTTGAAGTAGCGGGACGGCCTGGGGATCTTCGGCTGAGCAGATTCACATGATGCTTGACTAGGCTCAAGTCCAGGCACGTAATACCTAACAGTGGCCAGACCCAGAAGTGGCCACCCCAACTATTCCGCCAACACCAACTATTTTTGACTTTTGAAGCTGCCCACTACCACCACAGCGCGCTCAATATAGCT